TTAATGTATGTACCAAATTTGAATGAAATCCGTCCATGCATAACTGAGATCCGGGTCCGGAATGGTGAAAATGTGCGATTTCAATGCATTTTTGGCTTAAAGCGACTGTCATTTGGCTATCGTTAATGAGATCATGAAACAAATGCACATACATATTTGTGACATGATGTACTTGTGTGTGTGAAGTTTGAACTCGATCAATCCAAGCATGTCTCAGATACGGATCCAGAACTGAATTCTTTAAAACAAAATGGCCGCCAGTCGGCCATTTCGAACCCGATTCAAAAAAAAAATCCGTCCATGCATAACTGAGATCCGGGTCCGGAATGGTGAAAATGTGCGATTTTGATGCATTTTCGGCCTTAAAATGGCCGCTATTCGGCTATCGTTAATCGGATCATGAAAAAAATGCATGTGCATATGTCCCATATAATGTGTGATGTATGAGTGAAGTTTGAACTTAATCGGTCCATGCATGTTCGAGATACAGGTGATCACGGACGCACGCACAGACGAATGGACGCACACAGGGCAAAACATAAGTCCCCGTTTTCGGACTGCGTCCGAACGGGGACTAATAATAATACTGCCATAAAGTAGGGTATTATACAGGTGTATTTTGGGATACCTTCTTGTTTGGAGATACTCCTGAGAGTTAGAAATGAAATGACTGGGCATTGTGATTTATTTACATATTGATTTTATCCTTTAAATATCTATTTGAGTTCATCTTAGAGTTCACAGTGCTTTATTTTATTGGCACTCTGGTCTGACCAGGCAGCTAGTTGCATGACCTGATTGGTTGCTTTATGTCTTCATTTAAATATATGAATAATTTATTACTACAAGTTTGTTGATTTAACGGCAAATAAAACAAATTACCGGCATGGCTTAATTTTTTTGTACATGTACATGTAACTTGTGCATGGTTTTAACTGTTTTTATAAAAAATGTTGTTAATAACAGTTGTAAATAGCAGTTTTGAACCACAGTTTATGAGCTATGTTTTCAGTGTATATGGAAATCAATATATATGTTTGTTTTGTTAAGTAAGACACCAAAAACTCTGAAAATCACAATGAATGTAGATTGATACTACTTATTTACTACAGTATGATTGAGCCAAAATGTGCCTCCGTTTTAAGCTGTTTCGAAGCGTACAAACTGTCCTAATTACCTTAGTACATGTATTTATATACCATGCATTTTCGCAATTAGGTCGTCATGTGACTTAGGAGTCACTTTAAAGATGGTGACACGGTTTGTTGGATATGCTCAAGCTATCTTCACAGAAATTCTGTTTCTTTCTTGAATAATGGCGATATTATGTTTTTGCCAAGAATTTTGACAAGTGAATATATTTAGTAGCTAAGTGTAGTTTAGCACCAACATGTGCTACAGGACGGAAGATCTGGTCTAATACGGTCTGCAGTTCTCATGACAACAATGATTATAGGGTAAAAATGTCATACTCGTTCATAACACCTAAAATGCCGACCCAAAATGGATCCAAGAGCAAAGTTTGTCATCGCTCTCCATCAGGAAAAAACCCCAAATGAAGAGGGAAGGGCAGGATGTTTCTTGGTGATTTAAATAATACCTCTGCAGAAAACACCAGTAAAGCTGCACATACCATATGTGGGACCGATGTAAGAGTTCAAACAATGCACAAGCTAAGGTCCTGATGATACTCCGAATACTACGCAATTGGTAATGAGACAAAATACACTCCGTTGAATGAATAGCGCCCTCACATGCAATTTCTCCTTTGGATCTGACACTGCAGTCATTCTACCCACCAGAACCTGGGGAGATATCATGTGATATCATATTCAACGATCTATGGTTTACAACCGCTCTGTTTTCAGTAAATCATTGACTGCTGCATATTAATGAAGCAAAATTTAGCGAGATGGCAAATACAAATAAATATATATATACATAGACGTAGTTGAAAATCTCATGATGTGTTGTCACTCATCGATTTGAACAAAAACAAATCTTCAGTATTCTGGGATTGACAATAAAAAACAATGCTGACAATATTTCTGGTTCATTTGTGAAAATACATTGTATACACATTTGGTTGTAAACCTTAGGGCTACCTTATCACATCTCCCCAGGTTGTTGTAAATGTCACACCTGTCATTTGCAGTTTTACAGAACAGTTTCCTGGTTAGATTAAAATAGCAAAGCTACACGTTTGTTTTAGGTAAAAGTGAAAGTTGACATATGGACATCAGGATAAGAAATACTTTCTAAATCAGTATAACAACTGAAATACACCGCTATCCAGAATACAATGATATTGTAACAAGCAGACATTTACCTTATATGTAGTATTCTAATTATTCAACTACAGTAAAGTGTACACAGATTGTCAACCCATGCACTAATCTCTTGTTTATGTGTACAGCTACTGATCTAAGCTTACCGATCGCCGAGGTGAAACTAAATAGATCCGTTCATGGATTTGACCTATTATCTTCCATGACAATCAAGGGGGTCATACTATTTTTTTTTACCATGCGGGAAATGGTTAGTTTCGCCATGTTGCTACCATTGCCAGTGAGCATGTTTTGTTTTTGTCTTATTTTGACTAGGTTGTGCAAAAATGAAACACCAGTGTTGACAAGGTCACAATTATCGTAGTGCAACTGTCTTACAACGTATCAACGTGACGAGGTTAAATGTGTTTCCAACAGAGTCGAGAAAATGACAACTGTACAACTGCTTTGTCAAAGTCAGAATTTCTTTTGCAGCTGCATGTTACCGTTTAGTTAGGAACTTAAAACAGAAATTCTAACTGTGCTAGTCTAGCCAAACACAGAAAGCTTAAATGTGCATATACCGGTATATCAATTAATATTTTCAAGCCCAAAATAAAATAATTGACCTTAAAATACTAAGTCATAACATTGACATGCATGCATTGTTTTGTTTCATTCATAAAAAATTGAGGACATGGAAAAAAACATGCAGAAATACTCTTTTTTTTTTATACTCAGATCAAACTTCATTCACAAAAGTCCAAGTAACTTGTCAGTCATGGTGAGTACATGTGACAGTTTATTACTTCTGTGTGAATATAATACAACTAAGTGATGTTTAGTATGGCATCTCTCTTTTGGGAGGATGTGGTGACACTGGAAAGGGCCATTTGGTTTGGTTTCATCAGAAAATTTACTCCCATCTATGACCCATGTTTGGAATATTAGCTGGGTTAGGAAGCGATCTCCTTACAACATCGATCACACAATTGGGTTCTCGTTTGATGGAAATTACAGAAATATAGCAAATGTTAATAACTGGTAAACCACTGTTTCATCTATCAAGAATCTTGTACACCAAGCAAAATTTCACAGTGATAACTGCAAAGCTTCTTTGCTATCGGACAACCCAGTTAAGTTACAACTGTGAAAATCCATTGCGAGGACATGCAATTCAACAGAATTCATCTCTCTATCTACCAAATTGTAAATTTCCAGTCACTTACAGAGCTGGGTTTACTTAACTTTTGTCTGGTATGCTACTTTCCTAATAAGAGAGTTTTTTTCAAGCCATCTAAATAAGCTACATAGGGAATTAGATAGGAGACAGACACAACATTTAAACCAGATAAATATGAGAACTATGAAACTGCTTTGCTAGAGGAAGTGACCAGTAAAGGATGAAATAATTATGATGACTGATGCGATGCATGGCTGGCGAAAAAACTCTTGTGACACTGATGTGATTGTGAGTTTCATTGCCAAAAACAGTCATTGCCAAAGCAGTTGTTAAAAAATGTACTAGTAGACGACCCGGTTCAGCAGCGCCATAAAATCAAGCTACTGAGATAAGAGAGGCTGGGAACTGAACATGACATGCTACCAACAAAGTCTGTTGAAAAAACCATGACAACAAATTATGCAAAGTAATCTTCCTAAATATGTCTCA